ATCAGTATGTGTAGACCTGCCCATTTATTTCCCCTCCCTCAGGCCATGGAATATTTGAAGCTCAGAGTGAATCAATCTGGGCAGACCTGCAGGGAGAGAGGCTGTGTAGTACAGTAGATAGGGCACTCACTTTTCATGAAGTCTAAGGACCAGGGTTTGAATCCCAAACCTGCAACTTAGGACTTCTAGAAGAGTTTGATCAATGAGTTCCCTGATAAACCCAATGGTCAGTGTAACCACAATTTCAAAACTCATTGGTATAGGATTCTCTCCTCATTGGTGAAGATCAATGTCTCAAAAGTTTTTTCAAGTCTCTTCAAATTCTGCGCTTGCTTTGAGCCCTTTTGACTTCCATCTTTGAGAGAGAAGATGGTTGACACCAAACCCACTTTAGCTTGCTAGAGACAAAGATTTTGAGAAGAAGCTGGTGTAAGAGAAGCTGGAAGTCTCCATCGTGCTCCTGTCTCAAGCTTACTACACTAGAGATTTTGGGAAAGTTCCTCTTGGGTGAGATTTAGGACTTTCTAAGTTGAGTTGAGTTACCTCACTCCCAATGGGTGAGCTCCTTTAGTCTGTATTGTCTGATACATATTCTCCTCTGTTTACTTCCTCTCATTTCTGTTTTTCTACCAATTTGGAAAAATGGATTTCTTGGCTAATTGTTGTATGTATTCATTGTGAAACTGATATGAAAAGGAAGTGTATCAAGCCTTGGATATAAAGCTTGGGTTCTTGCTTCCTTCAATTAATGAAATAGTGATCAAAAGTTAGCTTGAACCTGAAAACTATATCTGCTAATAATATTTGAGGGAACAGATAGATATATATGATATCCTCTCTCTCTGAAGAGAACAGAGTGGCCTCTGACTTCAACTTTCTACTTCCCTTCCTGGCAAGAATTATGTCTCCTTTGGAGAGGAGTGGAGAGAAGAGGCTAGGAATATCTATTCTGTCTCCCCATAAGTCATCCCATGATACCCTTATGCTACATGTGAGGGAAGCTCACATTTCAGTAGGAAAATATCTCAAAAGGTCATTTGATCCAAACCCCTCCCTCATTTTCCAGCCAATAAAGAAGAATTTATTAAATGCCTACTATGTGCCAGGTACTGTGCTAAGCACTAAGGAGGCAAAGACTGAAGTGAAACAATTCTTGCCCTCAAAGAGCTTACATTCTAATAGTGGTGTACATGTATACAATGTAAACAAAATATATACACATATACAAAATGAATTAAAGGTAGTTTGGGGAGGGAGAACAGTAGTAGCTGGGGAGGGGAGGGATCAGGAAAGAGGCTTCATTTGAAGATGGCATTTTGAGTTAAGCCTGAAGGAAATGAGGGATTCCAAAACACAGAGCTGAGGAAGCAATGCATTACAGACATGGGGGCAGAGGGGTGGACATGAGGAGAGGGAACTGTGCAAATTCATGTAGGTGGGAGATTTAAGGTAGATGGCCCAGGGAAGTTTAGTGACTTGGCCAAGGTCACCTTGTTAACAAGTGCCAAAGACCAGAGTCAAACTAAGATCTGCCCGTTCCAGACCTGGCAAACGTTCCTTTCAGGGAAACACAATCAAAATCCCAAACAAAATTTCACCTCCCCACAAACTCAACAAACTGATCAGGGAATGCTCTCAATCAATCCCCTATACCCTATAGGGGATTACAAATCCCCTGACCCCTCTCAGTCTTAGTTTCATCCTCCATAGAATGAGGGGGTTGAATGAGATGAACTCTAAGATCTCTTCCAGTTCTAAAGCCTATGATTGTCTCACTTAAAGTCTTAAATCTGGAATGGGGACTCACCAAAGTTACATCTTCTTTCTGCAGGCTCAGGGACCACACCCTTGCACAGGACTGACCCACTGCTATTCATCATCTCTGAGGTGACAGAGGGCCACTCAAAGGCAGCCTGAAGTCTGGGGAGTGACCTCATAGCCCTGGCTGGAAGTCATAGATTGATTAACTGATGGAGTGTGTGATGGAATTCCAAGAAACAGAGCTTAACACACTTCTGGGAATGAGGAAACGTCCTGGCCAGACCTAACCTTGTAGTGCTCAGCCTGTTAAGGGATGTGGCTTCTGCCCTCTGGACCATTACACCACTCCAGTCTTTAAGGAGTTTCTATTTAAATTGTTCACAGTTATTTTTCAGCTTCCAGAATGGACAACAAGATCACAGACTTAGAGTCAAAGGACGCTTTAGAGGCCATCTGGTCCAACCCTTTTATTGTATAGATCTGAGGCCCATAGAGGCAAAGCAACAGGGATATGATATGAGGAAGACTTGGGACCAAATCCTGCCCCTGACTCTTTCTAATTGTGTGACCTTAGGCAAATCATTTAACCTCTCTGTGTCTCATTTTCCTCATCTGTAAAGTATGAGAGCTGGACCCAATGTCCTTAAAAGTCTGCTCTAGCCCTAAATCAAGGATTCTATAACCCTATGCTCTATGACTCACCCAAGTTCACATAGGGGATAAATAGCAGAGTCAGGATTGGAATCTAGGTCTTTGAGTTCCAATCTGCTGTTAATTCCACTACATTGTCCTGAAAGAATCCTTCATAGCTGGGCCTGTAGTCACAAAGTCCCTATTAAAATATTGAATGTACATTGCAGTGTCTGCTCTCTCCAAGCCCATGGCTGTTAGTAAAGAAAAGCAAGATTGAAATGGTATTTTAAGATGCAGGGGTATCTATTTGAAATGTTCCATAACATTGAAGCTCTCTGGGCAATGGCTAACTGGTTTGCTAATGTGCTTGTTATTCCTTAGTCAGCATTTTTACAGATCCTCCTAATGTACCACATTGCTGTGGGAATTCTGCCCAAGTGCCATCTTGATTCTCAGCAATGTTTACACAGATACATGGCTCAGGACTCAGCCTCAAAGCCCTGTTCTGCAACTACCTAGTAGTATGACAATGAGGAGGGCAGCTACGTAGCACAGTGGACAGAGTGTTGGGCCTAAAGTCAGGAAGAATTGAGTTCAAATCTGGTCTCAGATACTTACTAGTTGTGTGATCCTGGGCAAGTCACGTAACCCTGTTTGCCTCCGTTTCTTCATCTGTAAAATGAGCTGGGGAAGGAAATGGCAAACCACTACACTATCTCTCTTAAGAAAACCCTGAAAGGGGACATGAAGAGTTAGACATGAGTAAACAACCACAAATGACCATAAGGAAGTAATTTCTTTGGCCTTTCCATGAACTTCAATCTTCTCATATGTAAAATGAGAGTGTTGGGTTACATAAGTTCCTGTACAGCCATATAGTCCTGAGATCCTATGATTACAAGGACACTTGGGCTAATTTATTGATCCTGTCTGTGTGGAATGCCCCCAGAGATGATGGTTTGGGCTAGCCATGGTAGTTTTTAGGGTAAGGGACCATTTGGAGAATTTTGTCTATTTATTACTGAATCTGAATCATCATTCTGTTGCACCATACCCCAGAGAGACATAATCCTACCTTCTACCTCTTTTGTTTTTCTTCTTACGTCTCTTTCTTTCTGTCTCTCTCTGTCTCTCTGTCTCTGTCTATCTGTCTCTCCCTCCCTCCACACAACACACCCTCATCTGCTATTTATCTATCTCTGTTTCTCTCTTCTCTGTGTCTATCTTTCTCTGTCTCTGTCTCTGCATGTCTCTCTCTCTCTCTCTCTCTCTCTCTCTCTCTATGTCTGTCTGTCCATCTCTCTCTGTTACCTAATATTGAAATTTATGGAAGGGGAATATTGCCCCATACATCTTAGCAAAAAATGACCAAATAAAGGCAAGGGGTGGTGGAAAAGAGGCCCCCAAAATTAATGCATCAGAAAGAAATTATTTTATGTATAGAAAAATGTTCTGTCACATATTGGGAAACAATGATGTAAATACTGTCAATCTATCTGCCTAGATAATAAAGTAAATCATAGAGACAGATAGGAAAAGAGAGGCAGAATGTTGAAACTCCAGCAGGTTTCATCTGTAACCTTCAGCCCCTCAGGCTCAAAACATCTGAGTCATCTCTGACTTCTAGCTCTCCTTCCCCCTATACATCCAGTCAATCACAAAGTCTTAGTGATTCTTCCTACAAGAGATTTCCCACATCTTTTGCCTCTCCTCCATTCCCACTGCCCCAACCTTAATTCAGAGCTTTATCATCTCATACTTGGCCTATTTGAACAACCTCCTAACCAGTCTACTCACCTTCTGTCTCTTCTCTTCCTTAACACTGCATCATGGGTTGCTCATCCATGTGGGTGTGGGTCATGGACCTCTTTGACATCTGGTGAGACCTATGAATCTCTTCTCAGAATGTTTTTTATAAACATTTATTAACATAAAAGAAAACATATAAGCTATCAAAAGAAACCAAAGTTTTATGAAAATAGAGATTTTTTTCCCCATCCAAGTTCATAGGCCCTCCTGATATCTATTCATGGTGGCAAGGGCAGGGGATGGGGGATGGGGAATTCTGTGGTCCCTCAGTTCAGAATCTCTGCTCTGAATGGGACCAGATCAATCTTCCAACCACTCTTTTCACCATAGCACTGTTTTACTCCAAAACTTTCAGTGTCTCTCTATAGCCTAATGAAAAGGCTGCACTTGAGGACCTAGAGGGCCACATGTGGCTTTGACACTGCAGGTTGACCGCTCACTTGATCAATGAGAGGTCAATCCCCCAGCCTAGAACTCAAATTTTGACTGCAAACTACTTCTTTATATTCTGTTTTCTCACTATTGCCCTGCGTAAATGCTGAGAGGTTGTGAATTATACTGGTTTATGTACTTTCCCCAAAACCCTACATACCCATCCCCACCTTGGTGTGTTTTCTCATTATCATTTTCCAGATTGAATTTCATGGTACTTATTGGCTCTGCCTCAAGCGTACACTCAACAATACAAGGCAGTGTTTGCAATATTTTGATATGTCTATACATCCTATGTTATCTCCATAAATAGAATATGAGTTCTTCCCAGACAAGGACCTTCTTTTTTATTTCCATCTCTCCAGGGTCAGCATGAGGCTATGCAAACAGCAGGTGCTCAGAAACATTTGGCAGTGGCATGGATGATGGAGTAAATATCTCCTGGTGGAAAAAGATCAAATGAGGTAATATTGGTAAAGGGCTTAGCATAGGGCAGAGCACATAGTAGGCACTTAATAAATGCTTGTTTTTTCTCCTTCTTTGCCCCTCCCCCCCAGGACTATGCTGAGGCATTAACGATGGAAGGCTCAATGTAATCTCACTAAAGCAGCACTGGTCTGTTTATTTCACTCACCTTGCTTAGAAGTCTTTAGTGACTCAGTTGCCCACAGGATTAAGAAGCAATCTTCTTAGTCTGTCATTCAAAACCTTCTATAATCTGACTCTATTCTACCTTCTTAGATCCCTTCAGCTCCAGGTGAATCCTCCTTTGAATAAAGTTACTTCATCTGCTTTCTCCCACACAATCAATCATATTCTGACTTACATTGTACTTATTGAAGTTTATATCTGGATTTGGATTCCAAAGACTTAGGTTTGAATTCTGCCTTGGATTGCCCATATGACCTTGATTAAATCTCTTCTGAAATTAGGGCCTAGGTTTCTTCATCTTTAATGGTAGACCATGGGACTAGATGATCTCTAAGGTCCTTTCCAGCTGTAAGTTGTATGTTCCCCTTACTAAATTGTAAGTTATTTGAGAGAAGAGATCGTATCATGCTTTGCCTTTGTATCCCGAGTATACAGGATGCCCCTCTCTAGCACATAGTAGGCACTCACTAAATGTTTGTTAACCTGAATTGAATTATTCTCTCCCCCTCAGGTTCATTCGTATTTTAACAGACAATACCTTATATCTTAAGAAGGGATTTTTCTGGTACAAGGTAGCAGGGATTTGAAGAGATAGTTGATGGTAGGCAGAGATAGTAGGATCAACAATCAACCGATCAATCAGCAAATGTAAATTAAGCACCTATTATGTGCCAGGGCATGGTGCTATGAACAGGGGTATACAAAGGCAAAAGCAAAAAGAGTCTCCAAATATCTCACAGTGTATAAGGAGAAATAACATGTCCACTTTTAGCTATCTACAAAATTGATATAAGGCAATGTGTGTGTATGTTGGAGAGGGGTGCTGACTTCGGGGAGAAAGTATCAGCAGCCGGTGAGGTAGGAAAGGCTTTTTCTACAAGTAGCACATGAGCCATCTTGAATAAAAGTAGGTATTCTAAAGGGTAGAGAGAGATAGATCACCAGATTTCACTAGTGATAGCAGCAGATGATTGTGAGCTGTGCCTCAAGCCAGTAGGATACTGGAAGCTGATGGCATGGAGGATATCACACCACTGTCCCTCAATTAACCACCCTATGGAGGTGGGGATCATTTTCCTATAGGAGCTGTGGCTTAACTAGCAGTTAGAATTGATAGACTTTAGACCTGGAAGGGAATTGAGGATGATCTCAATCAATTTCCTCATTTCACATGAGGGGAAACTGAGGATAAGAGCAAGGAAGTGATATGTCTAGTTAGCAAATAGCAAAGGTGGGATCTGGAAGCCAGGATTTCTTCCCTCTCCACCATGCTGTTTGGGGGGGTTGACTCTGTAAGAATGATACAGGGTTTGTCAAAGTCCTGGGAAAACTATAAACTCATAGATTTAGGGTTAGGATGGGCCATGGAGGTCATCTAGTATAACCCCTTTGTTTTACAGAAGAGGAAACTGAATGAGGCCAAAGGACCCAGAAGTGACTGAGGTCACCCAAGTAGCAAAGTTGGGATTCAAACCTTGTTGCCCTGGTTCCAAATCCAGTGCAGTAAGCTGACCTCCAGCATAGCATGAAACCCTGTTCCCAACATCCAACATGTTATAGCTTCCACAGAAAATCATTCCAACTCCACGGCCCCTCCCCCATCCCTCCCCCCCCCCCCCCATTCTGTGTATTAAACTGGTGCCTTCTGCCAGCTTGGCAGGGGAGGGGGAGCCTAGCAGAAGGGAGAGAAGACACTTAGATCCTTTTCCTACGCAAGAGAAATCAGCCAGGAATTATTTTTCTTGTTAGCCTTTTTGTAGGAAGACAGACAGCCCTTTCAGCCCAAATACAATATTGTAATTGCTCATATTCAGCTGACAGAGGTTCCCAGATGAGCTTCACTGAGGCGTCTTTTAGGAATCTGTCATGTCCCATAGCACCCAGCCCAGAGCGCTGTAAAAGCGTCTTCTTCTCTCTAAGTTATTTATATAGTTGGCTGAAAGCGCTTTGCTTGTACAAACTGGAAACTATTAGATTAGACCAGCGGAGACAGCCAGAGGCAATCTTTTTAACAAAGTGAGTGGGATTCAAAGTAGGCATGGAAAGCAAATATTATTTCACTGGAAGTCTATTAGAGGGAGCTCCCTGGATAACAAATAAGTGCTTTGTTAGTTTAGCTGGGGAGAAATGCACTGGCCAGGTTGGCACCAGCTGGGTTTAAAGGTAAACGGCTTGAGAGCAAATGATAATTCAATGATAGGTGGGATGCATCAGCCAATTTGGCCCTTCCCCCTAGCCCGTTACTTATTTAAAGTACATGTCAGAACTTAGCAGCTGAGCATTTCTTCGTTTGTTTTTAAATTTCTCATTTTAATTCAGGCAAACATTTTATAAACCCAATGGATCAGAAAGCAAATACTGAGTGTGAGTAAGGATGTCCATTAAATGTAGTGGCTAGCGCCTGGGGCCTGAGAGGGGGAGTTGGGTGAAAAAAAAAAAAGATTGCACAATAAGGTTGGAGGATGGGGGAAGGGATTAGATCTTCTTATAGGATCATAAACTCATATAGATTTAGAGCCAGAGGGGCTTTACCAGTCACCTAGACCAACTCCCACATTTTACAAATGAGGTAACTGAGTCCCAGAAAGGATAAGTGATTTGATGAAGGTTACAAAATTCACAGGTGGCTGAGCCAGGATGCTAATTCAGGCTCTTTGACTCCAAATCCTGTGTGCTTCTAGAGATTTATAGATTTAAAACAAGAACAGAACTAAGTGGCTATCTAGTTCAATGTCATCCTTTTATAGATTAGGAAACTGAGGTCCAGGGAGGGCATAGAATCACATATTTAGAGTTGGAAGGCACCTTAGAAGTTATCAGATCCAACCCTCTCATTTTACATATGAGGAAACTGAAGTTGAGGAAGTTTAAGTGACTTGCCCATGATCACACACAGCTGGTGTCAGCGTTGGAATTCAAACTCAGGTCTTCTCATTCCAGAGTCAGCAGTCTTTCTACTGTATCATGCTGCCTTATATTTGGATTTAGAGATGTAGGAGGGCTACAAGACCATCAATCTCAGGCCTGCCATCTTGCAACATCATTAATAGCTCTTCTACTTCTCTGACTAAGAGGTCAGGGATGCCTGAATGTCTTCCCAAGCCTTCTCTATTTGAAAATGAGAAGAGCCTTTTTGTCCTTGGGCACATATCTCTGACTACAGTTTTGTCAGAGAAAACATGTCCTTTCATAATATGATGGGAGTCTGAGACATTGCAGAGAGCAGAAAGGCCTGATGGTCAATTGGCCCTGGTTCTGTTTTCAGTTTTTCATGATATTAGGGAAGCATCTCTCCTTCCCTAGATCTTCATTTCCCCCCTGTATGCTCGTGGGATTTGGGGGAGGGGGTATGGATAAAATGTTTTATAGCTAGGTTTCTTAACTTAGATTCCATGAACTTGAAAAAATATTTTGATAACTATATTTAATAGACTTGTTTTCTTTTATAATTCGATGTTTTTTTCAATGCACTAAAAAATTATTCTGAGAAGGAATCTATATGCTATACAGGACTGCCAGAGGGGTCCAGAATACACCAAAAAAGGTCGAAAACCTCAACCCTGCTCTATAGGGTTGATATATGTGAGTTGGGAACTCTGGGTCAGGACCTGGCAACTCTGGCCCAGCTGCAGCAGTGTCTGACCTGTTCCCAGTAGCTCTCGGTGGTGTTGGCATTAGGAAGTACTCAGGCGGAATTTTTTTTTCAGCATCAAGCACAGCTCATAACCTTTCAAAGTACATTTGGGTCTTGTTCCTGTCTGTGAGTAAGAAGAACCTGACTAAATACACAGGCTTATTTTGTTAAGAAAAAATGCTTGGCTAGATTTTGCCCGCTTCATCCTCCAGCTAAAGCTCAGTGGGTGGAGCTGATTAGAAATCACCATTTAGAAACACACCTCTCTCCTCTCAGCCTAGAGGCAGGGGATGATGGTAGAAGAAGGTTGGTTATGTTAGCTGTGGCTGTTTTTGTCCAAATGTTTTGTTTTGTTTTGTTTTGTTTTGATGTAACACAGGATTTAATTCCAGGAGGCAGGAGGCAGGGAGGAATGGGGGAATGATGTATCTAGAAATGAATGTGATGCAAAAAAGAAAAAAATAGTTATCATTTAGGTTCCTAACAGTAAGCAAGCATCTGCTTAATCCAATCAACCAACCAATAATGATGATGATGATAATGATAATAGCCAGCATTTATATAATGCTATAAGATTTTCAAAGAGCTATACATGTTACTTCATTTGAGTTTCATAATCATCCTGCAAGAGAGATGCTATTATTATCCTCATTTTACAGATGAGGAAATTGAAACAAACAAAGGTTAAATGATTTGCCCAAGGTCACACAGCTGGTGAATGCCTGAGGCAGGATTTGAACTCAGGTCTTCCTGATTACAAGTGCCACCTTCTTTCCATACCACATAGCTTCCCAATCAATTAACAACCAATAACAGGCCTCTGTTAGTTGGTCAGTCATACGTGTATGTGTGTGTGTGTGTGTGTAATACACACATTAATCCAGTGGGAAAAGGCATTAATGACTTCTTTCCCACCCTCTACCCCCAGGACCTCCAGGACTCTTTGAACCTACGTCTTCTAAGAATTCTTAGCTTTCTAAATCTTCTGAGTAAGATCCCCAGAGAATATAAGAAGCTGCATGAGATGGTGGTGGAAGGAGATAGTCGAGGTTTGGTCAGAATCCTAGAATCCAAAATCTAGAAAGCATCTCAAAGAGCATCCAATCCAACTCTCTAATTGTACAGTTAGGGAAAATGAGGCACAGAAAATAAGGTAGCTTCCCTAAGTCTATGCAGAGC